TGATGGAGCATATCATTCATGTTGATCAGACATATTGCATTCCAAGTAGGTTAATATCTGATAATATTTTTTTAATTCGTGACTTCTTAGATTTTTCCAAGTCATTGGGCTGCGAAAATGTTTTAATTTCACTAGACCAGGAAAAGGCTTTCGATAGAGTTGAGCATCAATATTTGTGGCAAACTTTAGATGCTTTTGGTTTTAGTTCTAGTTTTATAAATATGATTCAAGTCTTGTACAATGATATTGAGAGTATATTGAAGGTCAACGGTGGTTTAAGTGCTCCTTTCAAGGTTCAGAGGGGAATAAGACAAGGTTGTCCACTATCTGGTATGTTGTATTCTTTGGCAATAGAGCCTCTTTTACATAATTTAAGGCAATCTCTTTCTGGTGTGTTTCTGCCTGGTTGTGAAACAGGTTTTAAGTTATCTGCTTATGCTGATGATGTTGTTGTAATTGTTAACAAACAAAAAGATATTGACACTCTTGTTAAAAATATGAATGTTTTTAGTGTTTTATCTTCTGCTAAAGTTAACTGGGAAAAAAGTAAAGCCATAACAACCAGTGAAAAATTAAGACGGATTTTTGTTTTACCTGGTGGGTTAACCTGGAGTAAGGGGGGTTTTAAGTATCTTGGGGTTTATCTTGGTGATGATGTTTTAATGTGTAGGAACTGGGAAAATGTTTTAGAGAAAGTTGAGGGGCGTTTAACTGGGAAAAAGAAAGTTGAGGGGCGTTTAAAAAAGTGGAAATGGATTCTTCCACATATGTCTTTTAGAGGTAGAACACTAGAACACTAGAATTTGGTTTCTTCTATGTTATGGCACCAATTACTGTGTATTGATCCTCCAGCACAATTGCTAGCTAAGGTACAGGCAATTTTAGTGGACTTCTTTTGGGACCGAATGCATTGGGTCCCACAAAGCGTTTTGTTTTTACCGAAAGAAGAAGGAGGCCAAGGACTCATTCATCTTGCCAGTAGAGGTGCTGCTTTCCGGCTCCAGTTCATTCAGAGGTTCCTGGTTGGACCCAAAGACCTTGTCTGGAAACCTTTAGCCAGAACTATTTTGTCCAGAGGTGGGAATTTGGGTCTTGCGGAGTCCTTATTTTTAATGGACCTAAGTACTCATAAACTGAATAACCTCCCAAAGTTCTATCAAGGACTTTTTACTATTTGGGGGATGTTCCATAAGCAGAGATCAACGGACAGTGAATCTTCATTATGGCTATTGAAAGAGCCTGTAGTGCATGGGACACGTTTTAATGTAGAGGATACAA